GGTTGGTACAAAGCAGCCACAGGTGTAAGAGGGTAACGTGGTGGTGTCGACCTTCAAGAGCAGCAGCAGCTCCAAGCCGGGCGTGTGTGTGTGCGCGATGGACCGCTTCGACCCTTCCCAGCTCCCCCGTCAGCTGCTACACCTCTCGACACTGCAACTCGTCGCCCAGGCCGCACCTTCCTTCACGCATGCTCGCTCCCTGCCGATCCACACCCTTTCGGACCTGCTGCAGGACTATCTGGGGCTGCTCGCGAGCTCGGCCAAGGCACGCGCCGAGCTCGCCGGGAGGGACAAGGTCGCGGTGTGGGATATCGGGGCTACGATCGACGAGTTCGGCGTCGGACCCATCTATGAACTCAAGGACGAGGCGATGAAGCCCGGATCACCACCTACAGAGGATGGCGGGTTGCGGATACCCGAAGTCGCGCACGAGCTCGCAGGTCGGTCACCGGTCATCGCATCCCATCGCATCCCATCGCAGACTCGACTCCACGTGTCACCTCCTCACACCCACCCAATACACGACAGCGGCTGATCCCGCTGATTGTGCTCCTGCAGAACATCTCGATGTGCGACTGCCGCTGCCTCCGATCGCTCAGCTCGCGTATGACGTGTTGCACCCGATCGAGCTACACACCCTGCACCATCTCCCCGATCTCATGCCTTCTTCAATCGACTCGCCCCCTTCAGATGATTCGGAGCTCGAGATCTCACCTCGGCGCGTCAAGGCATCGACTTCGCCCGTCAAGAATGGCCATCGATCGAACCCTTCCTTCACCCTTGTCAAGCAAGAGCCCGACGTCGGACATTCGCTCTTTCTCGATGCGTGGGATCAAGATCCGGCCTTTGATTTGGAAAAGGAGATTGACATGCTCAATCTGCCCATGTTGGGGAGGGGAGGAATGTACGCCGCCGCCGAGGAGGAGCAGGAACCGGTGGACGAGGATCCAGCGCTTGCTTGGAGGATCCGTCGCTGATCCCGCCGTGGGTGCCCGACTTTCTACCACCGTTCCCGGGCATGGAGAGGCAGAGGGAAGCTCCGTTGGCCGCGAGAAGCCGGCGTGAACAAGCAGACTCGGCGTGGGACGGTCGGCCTCGAGGCGCCCAGTACGCTGCAGGAGGCGACCCCTGGAGCGCCCCCATCCCTTACAACACGTCGATGCTGTCCGACATGCACCCCATCAGTCACCTACCCCCTCTTTCCCCACACCCGCTCTCGCCTACGATGGAAGAGGACGAGCCTCTACTCCCTCGGCCGACAAAACGACGACGTCGAGCCGTCTCGCCGCTTCCGTCAGCGCTCGATTCGCTCGATGCGTACCGCACGGCCCTACCCGAGATCTCTCACATGCCCACCTATCGACGACCCAATCTCGATCGGCGAAGGGCGGCAGCCGTTATTGGTCTGCACCCCGATCTTTCCATCGCCGGCGTGGACTCGCTGTTTGGACTCTTGCCGATGCCCTGGACACGACAACCGATTCGGCCGCCAGGATATTTGCCCGAGACGGCCACAACAGCAGCGATCCATCCTTTCAACACCGCTCTACCCCATACGGCTACCGTTCCGGTCCCCTACCACCAAGGTGCGGCCGGTACTCATCTTGCTGCTCCTGTTCCTCACCCCCGTGTGCCGACGACGCTCGCTCGCGCTAAGGATCAACTCTTCAAACCGAGCGAAACGAACAACAACCTCGCCATCTACTCTCGACTTACGCGCATCGGGCCCCCTGGTCCTTTGGGCCCCAAGGGGAGGCTCTCGATTACGAGTACGTTGGACAAACGTCGATCATCGCTTTGAATGTCGACTGGCCCGTGCGAAGGCACGATCAACGCCTACCCGTTCGAGACGACGAGGGTCTCGGAAGTGGGACGGTGGGGGGATAGGATCGGTAGGAGGGACGGGAGGGGCGTCCACTCCAGCGGCGAGTGGGATCAAGCTTAAGCTTGGTCGGGCGGGGAGTGCGAGCGTTGTCGGCAGTCCGGCACCTGCGACGATGCCTACGCCCGGACCGTCGACGGGGACGTGGTTGGGTGGCTTCGCCAGTAATGGTCCTCCGAGTGCGAGTGCAACACCTGCGTATCTCTCACGCGCGGATAGTCCCCTCTTGACGGTGCATCGTGATTCCATCACGTCCATGGGTGGCGGTGGGGTCCGATACCCTTCCATGAGTCGCGAAGCCTCCGTCGCGAGTCTCCCTCAAGAAGTCGCCGATATGCTAGTGGCAAACGGGATCCCCTTGGACCAACTCGAATCAACCGCATTGAATCTAGTCGATCAAGCCATGACGACCTCGACGAACGACCTATTCAACCAGATCGCGAACGACCAATCCGCCGCGCAATTTGATGCGAGTTTGTTTGGATTCGGCAATGCGTGGGGGGCGTTTGATCCGATCAGTTCGGATGGGTTGCTGAGTGGCGGGGAGGAACTCAAGCCGCCCGTAGGACCGATTAGCTTCAAGTTTCCGAATAAGGATGACAGAGGTTCGGGTGCAGGGGCGTCGACTTCGACTGGGCATTGATCGGGCGAGTAGGATGGTCCCTGGATGTAGCATGTGCAAAGAAGGCCTTTCGAAGCACCAAGCATTGCAATTGCTTAATGATAACAATCAGACACTTAATGATAACAATCAGACACTTAATGATCAGATACTTAATGATAACAATCAGGCAGAGCTATGACAGTAGTTCAAGAGCATACAACAAAGTATGCACCAATGCAAGCAGGTGAAACTCATGCCAACTCTTCCCCACCCATGATCATCTCAGCAAGATACTCATGCACCTCTCCTCCTGCGCGTCGAAAGTCTGCGAAGGGGTCATCGCCTCTCTTGACAGCTTGAATTGTTTCTCGCAGTCGAACATGCATATCGATCTTGTCCGGAAGCTGCAAAGACGACGCCGAGAGGGTGAGCTGCGACGAAGCAGAGCTGTCCAGGCTATGCATCCCCACACACCTGATACGGTCTGACCAGTCCAGACGGTGAAGGGAACAACCAAAGGTACGTTTTTGTGCGCCTCGTCGATCCTTGAGCATGCTTTCCGTAAGGTGGGAAGGATAGTATAACGGGTTGCAAGCCCAAATCCCGGGCCCAATCTTTGGGAAGCGGTTTGGGCTCGGTCTCGATCTTGGTGTCCACCCCTGATATCATGAGTTGTCGACCTTCTATCTCCTCCTTTTTGGTCTTGATATGAACATCGACATGCGCGTCCTCCTTCTTCAACCCAAGTGGACTCTCGACCTTCGGCCTCGGACTTTGGTGTCGCTTGACGGGTGTACGAGACTTGGGAACGAAATAGTCGGCTTCATCAGAATCGTAGCTTGCATCCAAGATCGGTAAAGGCACAACAGGTGGCAGTCCTTGATCAGGCCGATACTCATACGTCCTCTTAGCCCCCTCATGCGCCACCAGATAATCCCTGAAGACCCTGCCGACGTCCAGTCCAGCAAAGGCGACGAAATGAGGTCGATTCTTCTCGATCTTGACGAGAAGGCTCGCGCACCCGGCTCGCTTCTCATCCTTTTTCAATTCGGTCTCTTGGCGTGTTGGTCGTTCGACGAGATTCGTTAATCCGATGGAGCATTTCTTGATGAGCTTCCGACAGGCAGAAGGGTCGACTCGGCGGGGCGTGAGGCCGGATTGGTGCAGGCATTTATAGAAATGGTTGGAGGGTGGGCATCTGGAGGCGGGAGATGAAACGAGTCGGACGAGTTCCTTGTTGAAGAGCAAGCTGCCATGAGATGTAGATACGCACAGTGGTGCCCATTTCTCGCACTCTGACATCCAGGATTGATGCCGCACATGACCAGGTCTAGCCCGGGGACGAGGTAGTCGGTCAAAGGGTCCAAGTCGGCATAAACGGAAGGATCAGCGTATTTCAGCGCGGGTGTTGTCGCCAGTTTCTTCGGCGGACTCGATGGCAAAGCCGGCTTGGATGATGTAGAACGTTTGCGTTTCTTGCGCTTTTCGACGAGACGAGACGAGGTCCGCGAAGAGAGGGCAAAGTTGTCGTCGTCGGAGGAGGAGCCGTAGCAGATGTCGTGCTCGTCATCGAGGTCCGAGAGTGAGCTTTCCGAGGAAGGGTCGCTGGGAGAGGATTCAAAGTGGGGACTTGAAAGAAGAGATGCTCTTGGACCGGGACGAAGTGATGTAGTCGTCGATGGTCGTGTGCTCGGACTCGTAATGGCCGGCTGGGATCGGGATGTGGAGCTGCGACTCGGGCGCCGAGGCCGACGACTCTGACTGCGTGTGGGTGCCACAGGTGCTTTGATAGGAACTAGGATCCTGGAACTGGAAGTGGATGCTACGGGTGAGGCTGCTGTGGGCTCCCTCGCGGCTGAGCGCGGCCGCGGCGGCGAAGCAGATGCCGGTGGCACTTTTGACATCCAGTCGCGTTGGTCGCGACTGCCAGTGCTGGTGGCGGTGGCGTGCCGAAAGCGCTGCAACAGGCTCGAGAACGCAGACAGGCCTGCTGGTCGTTCGTGCTCGCAGTTGGCCAGGTTGGGTTTGGTGTCCATATCGCGGAAGGGACTGTGCGACTCGAGCGTGCCCATCGGGGGCACGGGGACTGGGCACGGATCGCTTGTTGACCCGCGACAGGGAACAGAAAGTCAAGAAACACTTCTCGTCGGCGCGCATCACTACTTATTTAGTTGGCATCGACGCCCAAATTGACAAAGTTTCTTCAATTCAGGCACCAAGGAGATTGGTGTAAATTCTGGAAAAAATACTGCAACGTAGCTCCGATCGGTACTATGTATTGTTTCGAATTTTCCTTTCGTCGCGGTACACTTAGTCACACCCGGAAATCCAAGTGCGACGCACGGACCCCCCGGCGCACGGACCCCCAGCGCACGGACCTCCCGATTCGCGTCGAAGCTGTGAAGAGGCTGTCGCGAGTCTGGTCGCGAGAGCTGTTTGCCCGTCTGCCCGTCTGCCCGCTGCAACGCGTTCCTCGCACCAGCGCCACCTGCTTTCGGGGTTTGCTCTCGAGCGATGGACATCCTTGGTCTGGAGGAGGATGGGTGGTCACCCCAATCGCCGACACCTTCACCCGTGTCGGCTCCGCGTACGACCACCGCTCGACAGGAGCCGCCAACAGCTTCTGAACGCGACGAGACGCGCCGACCGTCGACGATCATGACTTGCACGCTTCTACCGATGACGACGCCCGCAGAACGGTCCAGTAGTGTCGCGCCCTCGGACTTGGGTGAAAGGGAAAGCGATCGGTCAGGCTCGGACAAGAAGACTACTGGGCACGCATCGAGGAACTCGCGAGAATGACCGCCTTGGCAGACCAGCTCGAGCTGCAGCAGCCCGTTCAGGTCAGTCCTCCCTCTTGCATGGCTCGGGCCAGCATCGACCCGGGGGCACTGACGGGTGGCAGCGCTTGGCGTCAGACTCCTCGACCAGCGATGACCCCGAACGGACAAGCCGAGACCTCTACCCTGCACCCCTCTGCCCATTCGACGCCCAGTGCCCGGCCGCCTGCCTCGAATCGAATTGGCGTGGCCTCGCCTCGCAGACGGATTGCCACACCTCCCGTGCAGTTCCCATCGATCGGTTCCGCGTTCCAACAGAACTCGCCTCTTCCCTCCCCGACCCGCGAATTCTATCGACCCTCACCCCCACCCTCACCCTCACCCTCACCCGGACCAGGCCCCGTCTCGGCAGTCCGAACAGTGTCCCCTCGTCTCTTCATTCATCCCAAATCTCGGTCGAGTCGCGCACACTCTCGCAGATACTGGCCTCGCCCTCGGTACCCATCAGTCGCAAGTGGTCATCCCATCCTCTTCCCCTTCCCCTTCCGCCCGGTCCGAGGATCGCCACTCGCCTTGCGCTCGATCAAACTCGGCGCATGCCGTCCGCCCATCTCGATCTCCAACGCCAAACCGTCCTCGACCTCATCTAGCGGCCCTCTCTCCGTCTGCAACGTCATCCTCACCTTCTTCATCTGCGCCCGATTCCCCGGCCAAGCTACGTCCCCCGAACCCGAACCGGCAGGTCGAGCACTGCGCCAACGCACCTTGGCCCAACTCAACCCCTATTCGATCGAACAAGCGCGCTACACCCGTACCCTGCTCAAGAACGGCTGGCAAGGTGCGGTCGTGGCCGGAGTCAGGAAGGGGGACGAGATGACGAAAGAAGAGATGATGAGGAAAAAGGAGGAGTTGAGGAAGAAGGCAAGGATGATCTAGGGGGGTGGTTGGAGTTTGAGGAAGGGGAGATGGTTAGGAGAGGCCAGGATGGATCTAGACGGATGGATACTGAACAGACTAGTGGGTCAGAGGACGGCGAGGCTCTGCTTGAGCGGGAGGCGAGGAGGAGGAAGAGGATGCAGAGGGAGGTGGCGCGAGCGATGGGGCCGAGAGGGTGGGAATCTTAGGTGGGCGATCGTCTCGCCTATTGTCAGACAGTTTAAAGAACCTGAGACCGACTTTCTTCTCTTTCAGAATCATCTGTGCCACTACGCAGGACGAATGACGGCAACGACCATCGAGGCAATCCTGTGGAAAGAGCTAATCAGGATCAAGCTCACCCAACAGCCAAGCGGATACCCGGGAAACTGTCCAAAGGCATGAATCAATCGCGGATACGAAAGAACGAGGGGAGGAGCACACACCGGATGAATCCTCGGAGCAGGACGATACGAATTCGTCCGCCTCATCGAGCGCTCCTGTCGTCGGCGAGTCGAGCAAGAAACGGAAGAGGGCACTGCCGTCCAAGTCGCTTCACGCGCGATCGAAAAGGTCTGCGTTGGACAAGTCAGCTCTCGATTCCAGGATTTTGGAGGTTGAGATGTCGGCATCTTCCGACTCATCGGATCAGGAGGAGGATTCGACGAAGAGGATGAAGATCAGTCCATGGACTCAGCATCGTCCTCGTCACCTCGAAGACCGCCTTTGGTATCGCCCAAAGACAAGACAAAGCTCCAAGGCAAGCGGAAGAAAGCGCTAGGGATGATGATGCCCGCCTATTCATGAAGAAGGCCCAGAAAGACCTCGTCCGATGGAAAGGAGAAACGAGAGGTTTAACGAGCGGCTCGGATTCGGATCGGGCGATGACGAGCGGCTCTCATCGTCGGATCATGCGCCGGCTAAGGGGTTGCGAGAATCAGAAGGGTTCCGGAACTTGACCTGGCAGGCCCTTGAGCTCAAAGGGGATCTTTACAGACGAGTCGGATGAGGATGAGACATGATGGTCGAGATCCGAGGAGGAAGCGGAGAGACGCCGTCGAGTCGTGGTTGCACGCTTTCGCACCTCGGCGACGGGTCAACAACGATAAGATATCGTCGATCGTTCCTCAAGAGGCGAAGAAAAACACGGTGGGAACCAAGAGGAAGAACACCAAAGCCGGAAACCCTACTGGCTCCAAACGAACGAGAAGAGCAAGACGCACAGGCGCCCTCCTTTGCACGACAAGGGCAATCGCCCTTCACACGATCAAACTGGGCTCACAGCGAATAAAGCTAACACCCGACCGAGTGACCAACACAGTCGGAGCAATCGAAGTTCATCTAGGCCTAGGCCCATGAGAAAAGCGGTCTCGCTCGACACGGGTGACGCCATCTTCACTTATGCGCGCAAGTCTACACCTTGTC